CTCTGTCTGCCTGTGCTCGCTCTCCCTCTCTCTGACTAATAAATAAATAAAATCTTTAAAAAAAAAAAAAACAACCTAGGTCCCACTTATGTTTAAAAAGGCATATTATAAAAGCAAGCAAACAATCTGTGGCTCTACCACATTTTCTGGGTGTTTATCCTGCAGTAACGTAGTGACAGAGTCTGTGGGAGTGGTGGTGTTGAGCAGCTCAACCTCCAACAGAAGACTTGCTGTCTCTCTGGCCAAAGGAACTAGGGGACAGAGCCTTGGCAAGTACAGCCACCAGGGAAAGGACCAGGGAAACAAGCCAGGGAAGAGGAACCTCAGATTCTGAGCATAAAAGCCCACATCCCTGGCTGACCTCTGACCTACTTGTGCATAAGGCAAATGGACATCAGCCTGCAGCCAAGGCTTGAAGAACTGAATGGATCTAACCAAATGTCCACCACAGGTCTTAAAACGACAGTCTGCACTTTAAAGCTAAGCAAGTTAACTGCTTGCTAAAACAAAATCACTCTTCAGAGCAGTATAAAAGAATGCAGAGTCTATGTAACATTTACAGTGTCCAAAACAAAACCCTAAGTTACATGGTCACATTATAGAGCCAGAAAATGTGACACATTCCTAAGAGAAAACAATCAACATATGCCAACCCTAAAATGCTGGAATTATCAGAAAAGAGGATTAAAGGATCTACTGTTACTGTACCATGCAAGAGAATGGAAAACACGTATGTAAGGAAAGACAAGAAAAACAAAAGCAGAAATCCCAGCTAAAAAACAAAACACACATAAAAGAACCAGATGGAAATGTCAGAGGTGAAAAATACATGAACTAAATTTACCAAATGGACTTAATGACAGAATGGAGTTGATGGAGAAAAGAGTCAATGAACTTGAAGGAGGTTCAATGTGAAGAAAAATGACAACTGAAAAATAATGAACAAAAACGAGGGCATCGGGGATAAGTGGGGACACGTCAAAGACCGTGTTAAACAGCAGGCATTTGAAAACTATGGGCCACAGGTCAACCTGGCTCCGCACCTGGTTTTAAAATAAGCTTTTGGGGCACTTAGGTGGCTCAGTGGGTTAAGCCTCTGCCTTCGGCTCAGGTCATGATCTCAGGGTCCTGGGATCGAGCCCCGCATCGGGCTTTCGCTCAGCAGGGAGCCTGCTTCCCCCTCTCTCTCTGTCTGCCTCTCTGCCTACTTGTGATCTCTATCAAATAAATAAATAAAATCTTAAAAAAAAAAAAAGAGTGACAGAAATAGTAAACATATGGATGAATATGAGACACTTTCTTTTCTTAATTTACTTAAAACTTACATTCATAACATACTACATACATACATACATAGTAATCAAAGGTTTAAATCTCTTTCTACATTCTTACTGAAAACACACCCACCTGTACCTTATAATCATTAGAACTCCTTCTGGTGGCTGCTCTGTCCCCTTAAGTGACTATAGAAGGTAGGAAATCTGATAGTGGGCACTTTAGGACTGTCTCGGGCTAAAGACACACATGATAAATACCTCTGGAGAAGAGAATATTCCCTGAAGTCCTGCCGTAAAAAAGTCATACTGCTGCTTCTTTAGAAACCTAGAGTAAATTCACGTGAAAGCGGCAAAGCAATATAGGGGCACAGACTCCGATAATGATGTGTAAAACTGCTCTAAAAGAATGAAGTCCAGGACGCCTGGGGGGCTCAGTCAGATGAGCATCTAACTCTTGGTTTTGGCTGAGCTCGTGATCTCAGGGTCATGAGACGGAGCCCCACACTGGGCTCTGTGCTCAGTGAGGAGTGTGCTTGAGGATTCTCCCTCCTCCTCTCTCCCTCCCTCCCCCTGCTTGTGTGTGCCCATGCTCACTCTCGCCCCTGCTCTCTCTCTCGCTCACTTTCTCTCTCAAATAAAGAATAAATCTTTAAAAGAATTAAGTCCATTAATAAAAAAAAACTAAGTAACAAGGCATGGCCATTCAACCCCATGTGACAAACTGACTTTTTCAAGTAACCTTCTACTTGGCAATGTAGCACAATATGGGGGCTCCTGGAGTTGTGGTCACTGTGGCCCTGACTATTCATTACATCATGGCATTTTATTTCCCCCCTCCACTAAGTTATAAATTCTTCGAGGTGCTGTGTCTGTCGTATCTGTTCTAGTTTCTCTAGAGCACCTAGTATGTACTTGTTACTTTCGAACCAAGAACTACTTCCAGGTTAACTGACCCTATAACAGACAGGGGTCCTGCAAAGAGTTCCTACCATGGATTCCATTTTCTCAGCATGCCCTCCATGATCTACATTTCAAGTATCACACTCTCCAACCACATCCTCCTATCCTCCGAAACACAACCTCTTGTACCTCCCCAACAATTCCTCAAACCAACTAAGATTTATGGTCTGTTCATCAAACATTTCCACCATCCTTTGCTCCCTTCATAAGCCCCCAGCCCCAGTCAAGCTTGGAGTCCATGGTCCCTCATTATCCCCACCTCCCACATCCCTCCAACCCCCTTTATGGGGGTTGCCTGGCAAAATCCAACCCTGGGTAAACCCAACACTCCGCCTCCTTCTTGCTTGTAGGTTGCTGGATAAACAAATGTCCCGTTGCTCCAGGCCTCATGGTCAACTTATCACCATCCTCAGGTGAACCATTAGTCCCACCCTGATCCATCCACCTTCCCAAGCTCCTAGACAACTATATCCTGTGTTTGTATTCTCTTCAAACCTCCAATGCCTCTCATTCTCAGTTCACAGTCTTGCCTCCTCTCACTGAGAAAGCAGCATCAGGAAAGAAATTTCCATAAGACCTGAAGCCACATTTACTCACTTAGCAGCAACTGTCCCCTAGACTCTGCATTCCCTCCTATCCTTGATCCCATATAACCCACCCTATATAACCTACAGGATACATAAGATTAGCCTGTATATAACCTATATATCCTTTATAACCCATAGGCTTGTGGTTAGAGTCTATTCCCCTCAGCCCTTTTAATAACCCACTAGTATGAATAAATGTCTCCTCTTGCCTCTTCATTAGCAAAATTTCCCTCTACTGGATCAGTTCTGTCAACATACAGAGATGCTGTCATTTCTCTCATCTTAAACAACATTTTCCACTCCACAGCCCCCTCCAGGTACTGCCCAGGTCTCTGTTCCCCACTGGAGTAGTCTCCATGCACTATTTCCCAACTTCTCTTTGAACAAGTCTTGTTCCCACTAATCTGCTAAAACTGCTAGTTAAGACACCACCTTGCTAATTCCAATGGTAACCTCTTAGACCTGACTTTACTCAACCTGTTTGCCACAGCTGATCCCCTCCCTGAAAGCTTTCTTCAACTGACTTCTAGAATCCCATCCTCACTGGTTTTCCTCCTCAACACCCAATTCTAGAATGCTCAACCTCAGAACCAACCCCCTTCCCTATCTATACTTACCAAGAGGTCACATTCAGATTTACGGCTTAAAATAACATATGTATAAGGAAGACTCCCACATGTTTATCTGTAATCTCTTCAAGGAGCTCCACACTCCTAGATCTGCCTACCTGACACCTCCACATGGGTGCCCAATAAATCCCCCCCAATTCAGTACATCCAAATGGAACTCATGATCTCCCCTCCAAACCTGGTACTTCTGAAGCCTTCCCAATCTCAGGAAATGGCAAACCCATCTTTCTCTTTCCTCAGGCCGACATCTCACAATCATCCGTGATTCCTCCCCTTCTCTACAAACTCACATCCAAATCTTCAGGAGATCTAGTCTGGCACTACCTTCAAAAATACACGCTGAACCTGACCATTCTTCATGACCACGTTACTGCCACCCTAGTGCCAGCAACATCTCTAGGCTCTTCCTTTGCCTCTTTTCCCATACACATCTCTTCTGAATCACACTCCACAAGGCCCTACATCCTCTGATGCCCCACTACCCGTCACTGACCTCAATCTCCTCCAATGCTTCCCCTTGACCACACCTGCTATGAGCTCAATTATGTCCCCCACAAAACTCACATGAAGTCTTAACCCCAAGTAAGTAAGAATGTGACTGTACAGTTCACTCCTTAACAACGTGGGCTCTAGGGGCACCAACTTCTCCCCTTATGCAATTAAAAATCCACATGTAACTTTTGGCTCCTCCAAACTTAACTAATAGCCTACCACTGACCAGAAGCCTTATCAATAACAAGCAATTAACATGTATTTTGTATGTTTTATGTATTATATATAGTATTCTTAAAATATCTTAATTTTTTCAATATTTCAAGGCTACACAGTTTATCTGTAAGTTTTTCAAGTAGTCACACATCTCCAAAAAATTTTCCAATGTTCTTATTGAAAAACAATCCATATAGAAGTGGACCTCCACAGTTCAAATCCTTTTTTTTTTCCAAGTGTCAACTACATTTGGCGATCTGACCTTGAAAGAGATAATTAAGGTTAAATAAGGCCATTAGGGTGGGCCCTCAGCCAATACAACTGGTGTCCTTACGAGAAGAGGAGATGAGGACCCCCACGCAGAAACCAGGTGAAGACCTAGAAAGGACAGCCATCTGTATGCCAAGGACAGAGGCCCCAGAAGAATCAACCCTGCCCACACTTGGATGGAGGATTTTTGGCCTCCAGAACTGGGAGAAATCAATGCCCTTAGTTTAAGCCTGTGGTACTTCAGCTGTGGCAGCCGAGCAGATTATCATCTGCCTCACCCCTGGCGGTTTCATTCACCTCCTGGCGGTTTCAGGAACACACTAGGCATAGGTGTCTTAGGGCCCGTGCAGTCACCTTCCCTCTAGGCAGGGTTGAGGGTTATACCAGGTCCACCTTCAGCTGTCGGAAACCAAGGCCTGAGGACATTAAATGACTTGCCCAAATAAGGCGCAAAGACAAGACAAAAATCACATTTTATCTGGTTCTGTGATGTATGACAAACAGCTCTACACTCGACCAACACTAGATACTTACAGAAAAAAAAAAAAAGAAAGAAAGAAACCACTTACTTTTCGACCCAGAGCACTGAAACAAGCTTCACACCTCTCTTCTGTGCTTTGTCCCAAGTGCTCTGGTATCCGTCTTTGAACACAACATGAGTTACTTGTTTGTTAAAAGTTTTTGAAACCTGTAGAAAAAAGGCAGAACACACAATGTAAATTACCATTTATGAACAATTTCATAATTAATCAAAAAGGATACTTTATTCAATATTTGCCAAAAGGAAAACATCTAAAACCCCTACCCCAGCAATTCCATTTCTCAAAATCTGTCACAGAGAATTATGCTACCAAAGGGATAATGCCGCTTAGAAAACAGATCTGCTCCAGTTAGGATGCTGGGTTACACACGTGTTCATCTCTGCTCCCTCACAAGAAAGCCTGACAGAGAAAGAGCTCTACAAGGATAAAATGAGAGGTAATGTGGACAGGAGCTGGCAATGCCTTTTCAGGAGAGGAGAGAATGGAAGCTAAGTCAAATACTTAAGGACATTTAAGACTTCTACATCAGACATAAAATAAAACTCACAGGAAACAATACATGGAATACTTATGTAATTAACATTAAAAACATTTAATGTATTTGGAAGAAAATAACATTCATTTAAATCTGCAGAAGATACTGTGTTCAAGAAAGAATATCTAAGATGCGGGGGTCAGAGAACTAAAGAGCTCTTAGAAATTAAAAATATGATGACATAAGTAAAAAGAAGTCTATAGAAATGCTGGACACTAATAAAGTTGAGAAATTCTCCCCAAAGGACAACAAAAAGTCAAGGAGATGGAAGCAACAGAAGATCAAGATACGAACATCAGCTCACGATCAGGAGAACCAAGAGCTAAGTAATAACAGTTGAAGAAATACAGGAATAGAGAAAATGGAAAAGAAATAATTCAAGAAAAATTTCTCAAATTAAAGGGCATGTGTTCTAGATCAAAAGGACCCCCCAAGGGCCCAGCATGAAAATGAAAACAGAACCATATTAAGTATATCATTGTGAAATTCCAGTAGAGCTGGAGTAGAGAAAGATTTGACATTAAAAGAGAGGGTAAAGAAGTAGAGGTGAGGATAAATCACACTCAACACTGAGAAACTACAGTGGCATCAGACTTCCCAACAGCAACATGGAAGTCAGAAAACAATGGAGAAGTGCTTTCAAGGAAAAATAATATACACTTAGCATTTTACAGCCAACTAAAATACCAGTCAAAGGTGAAGAAAGGGGCCGCCTGGGTGGCTCGTGGGTTAAAGCCTCTGCCTTCAGCTCAGGACGTGATCCCAGGGTCCTGGGATGGAAGCCCGCATCGGGCTCTCTGCTCAGCGGGGAGCCTGCTTCTTCCTCTCTCTCTCTCTGTCTGCCTCTCTGCCTACTTGTGGTCTCTCTCTCTGTCAAATAAATAAAATCTTAAAAAAAAAAAAAAAAAGGTAAAGAAAGGTATAATAAAGGCATGTTCAAACTCATGGTGTTCAAAAATTTACCTTTTACATGTCATCTGTCCAGAAGTGGAAATGGTCCAATACATCACTCTTTTAACAATATTTAATTTTGTCAAGTAATATATGTATACTGCTTAGAAATAAAAAGGTAAACACTAAAAGAAACATCTGAAAAAGGCTGTCTTAGAAAAACAGAATGAGAAGTGTAGAGCGAAGGACTGCTGGTTTCCCCTTGGTTGTACTATGAACCTCATGGCACTGCACATTTGCCCTTGTAAGCAACACGTATGTATTGCTTTGATGAAATATAAATATATATCTCTTTGTCTACCTACCTACCTACCTACCTACCTACCAGAAGGCCCCAGAGAGCTATTGAGACAGTAAGGGATTATTACTGAGCCAAGACTCTAGGTACACAACTAACACAACCAGACAGAGGAGTCTAGCATTCAGGGTTATGTTTTCCCTACAGCTTTTGTCATATTTAGCAAACAATGGGTAGCACTTCTAAATACCTGAGGACAAGAGGGGCAAAAATTGGACTGCCAGCCTCAGAATGGGAGAAGAGAGTCTGGCAAAACCCTCATATCTTGTATGGTTACCCGAAGGGCTCATCCAGGAGTTAAGGGTAAACCACAGTCATATTGGCCCTCACAGGTCTGCAGTCCAGTTTTAAGTCATATTCAACCCTGCAACTGGATTAAGATAATCCTGGATTATGAGCACTAAAAAGAAGACTGAAGTAAATATGAATCTCTTCTGAAGAAAGAAAATACAATTCCAGGTCTCAAATTAATTCCAAACTATTTTAAATACACACAATACTCAACCAGAAGAAACAACAACAAACAAAATATCAAGCTTATCTAGAGATGAGACAAGAACATAAACCACTAGATAAATCAAAAACTAAAAGTAGACCTAGATATTGCAATCTACCCAACAAAGCCTTAGGGAATACAGCTAAAACCCAGCTTAGGGAGAAATGTATAACCTAGAAGGCTGTCAAGAGTCTAGCTACACTAGTCCAAGGTACCGCTCGCTGCCTTGGCATACAGTTTTTTGGCCAAGCATTCTGCAGGAGTCTTAAACCAACACCAACCCTTCATGCAAGCACATAACCTAGATAACAGCCCCCAGAGTTATGAGCAAATGTCATTTCCCCAATGGCCCTTTGAGAAACCAACTCCTCTGCCTTCAAGGTCTTTCCTCTTGTGTGCCTCTTAGACAAGGCTCTGGAGCTACCAACAGCTCATTCTTTGGTTTGAATTGATTAACCCAGTCCTAGACTAGGAAGCTGAAAGCATTCCACCCATGGACTTTAGTAAAGACATATGGCTCAGGTCCTGCCATTCTCTCTGGCTGTCTCCTTGTGTGGCTCCTCAAGGGTTCATGGCATCAGGCACCTCCTCCAAGGCATGTAATAAACTTGTTTCAATTCCCTGATAGTCTGCTGTCTCACGGCTGCTCACTATTCAGCACCCTGGGTTCCACCTGACAAATGTTCATCTAACAACTTCACAACAAACATGCGTACAAAGAGTAAGGAGGCTAAATGTCAAAGCGCCCATCTTGAAGAGCTGGAAAAAGAACAGCTAATCAAAACCAAAGAGTGAATTAGAGGATTATAAAAATGAGGCCAGAATTAATAAAAAAGAAAAGGAGGATCAAGAACACCAGATGTTGGTTCTTCGGAAAAACTAACAAAATCAATAAAACCCAAGTACATGTTAATAAGGAAAATAAGAGAAAAGACACAAATAACCAGTATCAGTATGAAGGGGGTCATCTCTATAGACTGTGAAGACATTAAAAAATTCAAACAGGGTATTATGAATAGCTTTGATGCAATAAATTTGAAAATTTAGATGAAATGAATACATTTCTTTAAAAAAACTGCTTTCTAAAAGCATTCACAATAGGAAAAAATGCACACCCTGTAATTTTCAAACAGATGAAAAACTAACAAAAAGGTTTTTTTGTTTTTTTTTCCTAATTTTTATTTATTTTTAAAATTTCTTTTCAGTGTTCCAGAAGTCACTGTTTATGCACCACACCCAGTGCTCCATGCAATATGTGCCCTCCACAATATCCACCACCAGACTCACCCAACCTCCCACCCTTCTCCCCTCCAAAACCCTCAGTTAGTTCCTCAGAATCCACAGTCTCTCATGGTTTTTAAAAAATCAACAAAGGGCGCCTGGGTGGCTCAGTGGGTTAAAGCCTCTGCCTTCAGCTCAGGTCATGATCCCAGGGTTCTGGGATCGAGCCCCACATCGGGCTCTCTGCTCACCAGGGAGCCTGCTTCCTCCTCTCTCTCTGCCTGCTTCTCTGCCTACTTGTGATCTCCGTCTGTCAAATAAATAAATAAAATCTTAAAAAAAAAATCAACAAAGAAAGCTCAAGGACTAGTTGGCTTCATTGGCTAATTATACCAAAAGTTTGAGAGAGAAATAATGACAATCCTATACAAACTTAAAATAAAAAAAAGAGTCACAATTCTGCACCTTGTTCTATGAAACCAGCCTATCTTTAGTACTGAACCACATGACAGCACTACAGGAACAGAAAAGGACGAGCCAGTATCGCTATCACTCCTTGAAATATTTGCAGGGGAAAAAGAAAAAAGAAAATACCGGCAAACTGTTATCAACAAATACATAAAAATGTTAACACTTTCCCACCACCTGAGTCTACTCCAGGACTGCAAAGTTAGTTAATGATAAAATAAATAGTTATTCACTATGTTAACAAAGTAAAAGAGAAAAACCTTATGATCATCTCAATTATATGCAGAAAACACAACTGAGGACATTAAAAAAGTTAATTCATGAAGAAAACTCTCAGCAAATTAGGATCTGAAAGTTGGTAAAAAAAAAAAAAATTAGGCATACGATCTTATACATGTAATCTAAAAAACAAAACAGACTCATAAAAAACTGGTGGGTACCAGAGGGGACAGGAGTGATGGACAAAATATGTGAAGATTAGAAAAGGTATGAACTTCCAGTTTTAAGCCATAGAGATGGAAAGTACACCATAAGGAATATAATCAAGGATATTAAAATAACTTTGGTAACAGATCAGAACTAGACTTACTGGTGATCATTTCATAGCATACATAAATGTGGAATCACTATGTTCTAATCCTGAAATGAATACAATATTGTATGTCAACTATACTCCAATTTTAAAAACAAAACAAAAAAACTGCGTTAGGTGAAAGTGCAAAGTTTTCCCTTGAGCAGAGGAACCACACAAAATAAGTGTGCTCTAGTCAACACAGACCCTCACCAGTGCAGTATGTCCAGAAAAAGAAATAGAAAGATTACAATTAGAAAACAGACTGTCTATGCACATAATATTCAATTGTGTACATTCATAAGTCCCCAAAATGCCATATCCATGAGTTTGCTAAGTCTTCTGGACACAAGGTAGATATGAAAAAATTATTTCTAGATACCAGTAATAAGTTAGAAAAAGTAATTTAAAAGATACCATTTATAATACCATGAAAAATGACCAAGAAAATTATAAAACATTACTGAAAGAAATTAAAGAAACCAAAATCAACAAAGGCATATAGGTTCATGCGTTGGAAGATTCAGTTTTGTAAAAACATCAGTTGTCGGGGCTCCTGGGTGGCTCAGTGGGTTAAGCCGCTGCCTTCGGCTCAGGTCGGGATCTCAGGGTCCTGGGATCGAGTCCCGCATCAGGCTCTCTGCTCAGCAGGGAGCCTGCTTCCCTCTCTCTCTCTCTCTGCCTGCCTCTCTGCCTACTTGTGATCTCTCTGTCAAATAAATAAATAAAATCTTTAAAAAAAAAAAATCAGTTGTCTCCATACTTTGGGTCTACTCCATACTTTGGATTTACTCCATACATACGGATCTACTTTTATCAATCCAATCCCATTCAAAATTTTTAAAAGCTGAGAAACTGATTCTAAAATATATGTGGAAATGCAAAAGGCAAAGAACAGCCAGGACACCCTGAAGGAAAACAAGGAGACTTAGGAAGATTCATTATAAGCAGCAATTATGACTGTGGTCTGTCATGAGAACAGATACTGAAACATCCAGTTACCTGATGACAAGCAAAGTCATTACTTCAGAGATGGGGTAAAGGATGGTCTTTTCAATAAATGGTGCTAAGATAAAAGACTATTCACGTGGGAAAAAAATGAAACTATTTCACATCATATATAAAAATTAATTCCAGATATACAGTAAATCTAGATGTGAAAGGCAAAATGATAAAGCTTCTAGAAAATAAAGGGAGAAATCTTCGTAATCTTGGTACAGGCACAGTTGCTTTGTTTTTGTTTTTAAACAAAAGCGCACCATAAAGAAATAAACTATATTCCATTTATCAACAAAAGATACCATAAAGATGAAAAGACAAGTTACAGAGTTAGAAAATCTTGCAATTCATATGGCCAACAATGAGAGCGGGAATGCTTACCAATCAAGAAGAGAAGGAAAAACCCAATGGAAATAGGAGCTGGAGTCTTGAACAGCCTCCGCCAAATAAATATATGAAAACATGCAGGAAAATACAATTTCAAACCATGATGATGTGCCCCCAGAAACGCACCAAAGGGCTGAAAATAAAGACAAAACTAAGTACAAATGGCAGTGGGGATCTCATCCACTGGCTGAAATGCACACAGTCTTCTGCAATGGTTGAATCCATTAGGAACCACTGCGAATCTTCTCAGAAGTAATAATGGTCTTTTTATCATACAGGAAAATTCCTTGTTCTTAGAGGTTACACACTGAACCAGTTTAGGGACAAATTTTATCTGTGACTCCCTTTCAAACAGTTTAGGAAAAGAAACACATATGCGTGCAAATCTACTATACAGAAGAGATGAAGACAAAGCAAGTACCTTAAGATTTTAACAATTACTGGGTCTCTATGTTCCTTTTTATTTGAAAATTTTCTCAATTAAAGGTAAAAAGCAAAAAGATCCAAGAGATAGAAGATCTTAATACTAAGATACAACAGTCTTAAAGGCCATTCTGTCAAAAAAAAAAAAAAAACAACAAAAAAAAAAACAAAAACAAACAAACAAAAAAGGCCATTCTGTCAGGTCCCACACCGCATGGCCTTTTTCTCAGCCAGTGTACCTTGTCTTTTCGCCCAAGTAGGTAGCAGGCATCAAAACAAGGAAACACCCTCTGCTTCCTACCTTCCAACGGATCGGAAAAGAAGGGGTCTTCTCAGGTTCACAAGGGCGCCCTATCCCTACATGCTCAATACTCTCCACTCCAGTCTGTGGTGCCCATCAGGGGAGGGCCTAGCAGGAGTCAGACAAGATTTCGGGGCACCCTCTCTGCCCATGGCTCAATGCCCCTTTCTGTTTTATAGCCTGGATGCCTCTCTCGCCTCACCCTCAACTCTGGCCCTGACTTCACCCATCTTCTTGCCGTATTAACCTCTGCCTTCACCCAGCCTGTCGTGCTCCCCCGCATCCCCCATCACCCACACACGTGAATACACTTTGCTCACAGTTCAAGAGTCTCTGAGAGCAGCCCGTCTTCACCACCTCCATTCCTCGTATCCCATTCATTTCTGGGCTAATGTCCAATCCTTTCACCCATGTCACTGAAAACTACACTCAACCACAACCTTACAGTTTTCAAACCTAAAGTACACTTGCCAGTCTCAACTTGTCTGAAGATTCTGCATTGCTTTTTCTTTTTTTTAGATTTTATTTATTTGACAGAGAGAGATCACAAGCAGGCAGAGAGGCAGGCAGAGAGAGAGGGGGAAGCAGGCTCCCTGCTGAGCAGAGAGCCAGATATGGGGCTGGATCCCAGGACCAGGAGACCATGACCCCGGCCAAATGGAGAGGCTTCAACCCACAGAGCCACGCAGGCGCCCCTGCATTGCTTTAAAATTCCATCTCTGAAGTACATGCCTCCTCAGACTTCCAGTCTTAGTTTTCCAGAATTTCCTGGAATTCCTCCTTTGTCCCCAGGTTCCCTGCTCCCATCACCTGCCCTTCACGTACTAAACAGGCTCCTCCTCAGCCCCTTTCATTCTAACAACCTGAGTCATTCCCACAGCAGTGGTTTCACCCAACCCACAGGGTCTCGACCCCTACAATATTATCAGCCTCGACTAACTCAAATTCCAGATCTGTGTAACTAATTGTCCGTCAGATGTTTTCAGTGTGCTCAAATTCACAATCTTTCCCTTAAAAACCTTTCCTTTTCCTGTATTTCTCACTTTGGTCAACAGCATCCTGCATCCAATTAACCAGTGTCAGAATCCACATTTCTAGGCTAGTCTTAGAACCAACTGTTCTCAATTTTTTCTGCATCCTGGTTCACCCCTCCCCCACCACGCCACTCACCCACTGTCTTCCTTGTTCTTCACCCCACATGTTCTACATCCTAGTTCCCAAAATGAGAAAATACAAGCATTTCTCATTAGGTATCAGAGGACTGCCATATGGAGCAATGGTAAAATTAATTTCTTACCTTTGCCCCCATATCCACAAGTTGGTTTGTAAATGTCTTTGAATAATTTTCCGTTCCATTCACCGACCAGACTTCAACGTATGCCACTACATCTGAAAATAAACAAGATACTAGCATGAAATATATCTAAAATTCTAGCCACTCTCCCCAAGGAGTTCAATAGATGTTTATCCTGTTCTATTTACATTCAAAAGTAAATTCAAAGCTTCTTCTATCGAAAGCCTCTTCAAAATAGCATTAGTGCCATTAAGGTTCTTAAAACTCCAAGCAAAGAACAACTTCATTAATACACACAAGGAGGCTTAACTTTTTTTTTTTAATTTATTTTCAGCGTAACAGTATTCATTGTTTTTGTACCACACCCAGTGCTCCATGCAATCCGTGCCCTTCCCTAATACCCACCCCCTGGGTCCCCCAATCTCCCCACCCCCCGCCCCTTCAAGACCCTCAGGTTGTTTTTCAGAGTCCATAGTCTCTCATGGTTCACCTCCCCTTCCAATTTCCCTCAACTCCCTTCTCCTCTCCATCTCCCCATGTCCTCCATGCTATTTGTTATGCTCCGCAAATAAGTGAAACCATATGATAATTGACTCTCTCTGCTTGACTTATTTAACCTTCTTAACCCTGGACGCTCTTCCCAAATTCCTAAACTAGGCTAGACTTTTCTGGTGAAGAGTATGTTTTGTGTAAAGGACCATACAGCCAGTTAACTTCTTGTACCAGGGGACAGACATGCCCCCCCACCCCACAGGGATGGAGACGGTACTGGGCTCAGAGACAGCCCCCACCCCCTCAGAGGCAGTGACAACCCTACCACACTTCCCACAGGGACACCCCACAGGGACAGGGAAGGTAGTGGACTCAGAAACAGCCACCCCACTCCCCACAGGGGCGGTGACAGACACCCCTATATCCCCACAGGGACTGGACTTCAGGACAGCCCTCCACACCGGACAGGGACTGGACGGGACTCCGGGACAGCAGCCCCCCATCCCCCACAGGGACCGGACTCCAGGACAGCCCCCAACACCCCACAGGGACGGTGACAGCCCCCCATACCCCACAGGGACAGTGACAACACCGCACGGCGGGGGAGGCGGAGAACAAGTCTTCCTCCACATCCACACGCTGCCCGGGCAGACTTCCTGAAAGACCAGGCTCGCCTCCCCACGCGCCTAGCGAGCCCACTCCGCGCACTCACGGAGTCCTGAACGCAGGCCCTCAAGCCGGCCCGTGGCCGCCGACTCAACTCCCAGAGTGCAGGAAGTCCCCTCACCTTTCAAGACCCGGCGCCCTGGGGTCACGGGAGCCGCCATGAGAGACCTTAGGATGCGCACCCGTTGCACCGCTCCAAGGCGGGCGAGTCAGGAGTAGGTGACACTGAGCATGCGCCAGAGGTGACGTGCGCTTAAGCGGGCGCCCTTCCCTTCCAGCTCCACGGAAATCCGCTCATCCACGTTTTCTAACAGCCCAAGGAGGGTGGGAGGAAAAAAAATGTGACCGCCTCTGCTTGCCTTAAAGGGGCCAGAGGGTTTTCCCCGCGCCCGGTGTCAGCTCGCCTCCAGTCTGGCAGCGCTGATCAGCGTTCTCCCCGCGAGTATGTTGTCTGCTTGGGAATTACGACTTCGGGTGTCCCAGAAAACCCAATCAAGCTCTTCCGTTTCCGTAAGGACACTCAGAAGCTTCCCGGAGCCTCGCTTGCCCCACCTGGGATCTGCGGGAGAGGGAGGGGCGCCGTCGTAGTTCGCAGCCCCTGTGGGTCTCCGACCACGCGGTCTCCATCCGTCCGCGAGCACCGGGTTCCCGGGCACCGCCCTGTCGTCAGCGCTCAGTTACCGCTCGGAGGGCCCGACCACTGCTTTCTCCGTCCTTGAGAGCGCCTGCGGGGAGGGTGGGCGCCCCTGGAGCCCCCGGGCTTCAGATTCCCGCTCGGGGGTGGGGGGGGGCACTGGACCTCATCCCGCGGGAGGCAAAGGGAGGAGCCAGGTCTCAGACACCGCTGGAGGGACCCCAGGTCTCCGACCCCACTGGGGGGACCCTGGACTTCAGATCCCGCGGGGGGGAAGGGAGGAGCTAGGTCTCAGACACCGCTGGGGGGACCCTGGACCTCAGATCCCGCGGGGGAGAAGGGAGGATCCCGGTCTCAGACCCCGCTGGGGGGGACCCCAGGTCTCCGTCCCCACTGGGGGGACCCCGGACCTCAGATCCACTCTGGAGGGGGTACCCTGGACCTCAGATCCCGCGGGGGAGACGGGAGGAGCCAGGTCTCAGACCCCACGGGGCGACCCGGGCCTCAGATCCCCAATGGGGAGATAACCAGGGCGTCAGATCCCGCAGTGGGAGAGCGGGGACACCGGTCTCAGACCCCACTGGGGGAACCCGGAACCTCAGATCCCCGCTGGGAGGACATCCCGGACCTCAGATTCCCGCTGGAGGGGGGACCCCGGACCTCAGATCCCGCGGGAGGAAAGGAGGAGCCAGGTCTCCGACCCCGCTGGGGGGACCCCGGACTTCAGGTCCCATGGGGCGACCCTGGACTTCATTCCGGCTGGGGGCGGCGGGGCGGGGAACCCTAGACCCCTGACAGCAGCTGTGGGGGTCCCGCGCTAGGCCGTCTCACTCGAGCTTTGCCGCCCGCAAATCCCGGAGCGGAAAAATCCGGGCGGGAGCGGGCGAACCCGGCAGGAAGCTCGTGGGATCCGCTTTAGGAAACAGCCCTGCGGGAGCGCAGCTCACCCTCCGGGGGATTCAAACCTCCCGCCCGCGGAGCCCCGCCCACGCCTGCAAGTCCCGCCCCCGGGCTGCACGCGCTTGTCTTGCCGGAAGCGGCTAACCAGGGCGGGGCTGCGCGAGTTCCCGGGGTTCCTGGAGAGGACGGTTTTTCCGGCCGGCAAGGTCTTGTTTGGCTGCTGATAAAAACCGTTTAATCTCCCTGAAACGCCAAATCCGTTGAAGGATCCATGCCCTCTGTATTAAAGGATGAACCACTGAATGTATAAAAGCCTTCATTTCCAATGATTTCAGTGCCATCCATGTCTTCTGTTGTGTAAAACATTCCATTCCCAGGCTGAATGAGAAGCACAAATTAAGGGAATCCCTTGTAACCTAATGGTTAAAATACAGGCTGCATTACGAAATCATTCTGGACCTGGAGTTTGGAGACTGGCATCAGCCACTAACAAGATCTGAGATAATGACGAGTTACTAAAACTTTGCAAGCTTTTTCCTGTTAAGAAAAAAAAAAAAAAAGTAATCCTTAATAATAGTAGAAATAATAGCTGACGTTTGTTGAGCACTCTATCATGGACTTTAGATGTATTATCGAAGTTCATCTTACCTATGAGGTGAGTGTTGGTATTACAATTTACAAAGCACTTGTGTACATCTATGTATTTCCTCCTAGACGCTTATTAACATTCTGTATTTTTTAACGTGTTTATTATATCCTGGAGACCAACGGGGGACGCATTCTCTGCCCCCCCCCCATCTCCTTTACAATTACTTGATGCTCAGGAAGGCCCTGCTAGAAAAAGTAAGCAGGGGCACCTGGGTGGCTCAGTCCTTAAGTTTACAACTCTTTGATTTGCATGCAGGTCATGATGTCAGGATTGAGATGCTGGGAGCCTGCACCAGCCCAGTGCTCAGCTGGGAGTCTGCTTAAGATGAAGACTCTCATAGGCGAGTGTGCTCTCTCTCTCAAATATTTTTTTAATTTACGATAACAATATAATCCCATTTATATGCATAAACAATACAGTCCAAGAGAGGTACCTGAGGCGGCATAGCCAGGAACTGGTGGTTTTGGTTGGAACTGGAAACCATACACTTATCATCGTTTTTTTAACTAAATACAGTGGCAGGGTGTATGTCTGAGAATACGGACTACCATCTACGACACGGTGGTTCTAAAGAATTACCTTGGTCATACACAGTCCTCAAGCCCCACTTCCTAGACTCAGATCTCTGATCGGTAATTATATCATCAAACTGTTGACCTAACAAACTCTGAGGAAATGGTAACACCCTTTTTTGGGGTAGAGTAGGCTTAGCTCCTTATTGACGATAAAGCCTTTGCCTCACCAAGTAAGTGATTTAGAATCCAGTAATGACACAATAACCAATCACCACCTTTGCCTTGTACAAAAGGTGGTATAAAAGCTCAGTATCTGATAGTCTCAGTTTTAAGGTCACAGATATTAGCTCCTCTTTCCTCTAGACATGTTACGTTTTAGGTTTTATATTTCAGTTTCGGATCTATTTTGAGTTAATTTTTGTATATGGTAGAAATACGGACCTAAGTTTGCATATAGATATCCAAATGTTCCAGCATCATTTTTTTTAAAGATTGTATTTATTTGGCAGACAAAGATCACAAGTAGGCAGAGAAGCAGGCAGAGAGAGAAGTGGGGGAAGCAGGCTCCCTGCTGAGCAGAGAGCCCGACCTGGGGCTCTATCCCAGGACCCTGGGATCATGACCCCAGCCGAAGGCAGAGGCTTTAACCCACTGAGCCACCCAAGTGATCCCCAGCACTATTTTTTGATAAGCCTTTTGTCTGCTGCATTCATGCCTTTGTATCTTAGTCAAAATCTGTTGTGCATAGATGTGTGCCTTATTTTTGGAGTTCCCATCAGTTCCATTAAGCTACTTGTCTATCTTTATACCAACATTGTACTGTTTTGATTACTGAAGATTTGTAAATAAGTTGTAAAATCAGGTAATGTAAGCCCCCAAAAAACCATTCTTTTTCAAAACTGTTTATATGTTCTAGATCTTTTGTATTTCCATATGAATCTTAAAATCATCTTGTCACTTTCTATCCAAAAAAAAAAAAGGCCTGCTGGAATTTTGACTGGGATTATGTTGAATCTCAGATCTATTTGAGAGAGAATTGACATCTTAAAAATATTAAATCTGGGGCACCTGGTTGGTTCAGTCAGTAGAGCCTGCAACTCTTGATCCCAGGGTAGTGAGTTCAAGCCTCACATTGTGTGTGGAGCCTACTTTAAATAAATTTTTTTAAAGATTTTTGTTTATTTATTGACAGACAGAGATCCCAAGTAGGCAGAGAGGCAGGCAGAGAGAGAGGGAAGCAGGCTCCCCGCTGAGCAGAGAGCCCAATGCCGGGCTCGATCCCAGGACCCCGATATCACGACCAGAACTGAAGGCAGAGGCTTTAACCCACTGAGTCACCCAGGTGCCCCTAAATAATTTTTTTAAAATACTAAATCTTTTGGGGAGACTGGGTGACTCAGTGGGTTAAGCCTCTGCCTTCGACTCAGGTCATGGCCTCGGGGTTCTGGGATCGAGCCCCGCATCGGGCTCTCTGCTCAGTGGGAAACCTGCTTCTCCCTCTCTCTCTCTGCCTGCCTCTCTGCCTACTTGGGATCTCTCTCTCTCTCTGTGTCAAATAAATAAATAAAATCTTTTTAAAAATAAATAAAAATAAAATATTAAATATTTTGATCCATTAACATTTATTTATGTCTTCTTTAATTGCTCTCATCAATGTTTTTTACTATTCAGAGGTTGACTCATAACTTTTGTAAAATTTCTAATTCTGACCTAAGTATTACCATTTTTGATGATGCTGTAAATAACTTTTTACAATTTCAATTTCCAATAGAAATATGGTTACTGTTTGTAATTGATCTCATGTCCTACAAACTAATTTAATTAACAGCTTTAATTGATTTTTGTACATTCCAAACGATGTTCTACAGACAATCACGTTGTCTGTTTTAGGAGGAAAACAACTTCTTCCAACTTGAGTCTGGTGAATCGAGGCCTGCAGTTAACAATAGACAGACTAACAGGAGAAAAATCAAGGCTTATTTTCATGTGTTCTCTGTACATGTAGAAGTACTCAGTAATGCATTACTCACTGAATAGCCAAAGACAAAAGGTTTATCTACCAAGCCTAATACAGTTTTGGGCTTTATGGGAAAGTTATGGATGATCCTCTGGGGCTTTGTGATGCTCATGAACTTGGCGGACTCTTTCTCTGGCTGCTGAATGCATAGCACGCTCTCTTGGAGGAGTGCTAACAGTAGGCGTATTTTCTGGACCCTCTGCTTTTAGATAAGGGAAGCTCAGAGAAGATTTGTTTCTGCAGCTTCTTTAGCTTACATGTCCTCACTTTAAAATAATCTTTATACCAATTCTGGGGGTCCTAGTGGGTCCCCAGATCTGCAAATAAAGACGGCATGGCCTTCTGCTTTTCAGTTTGATGTCTTTTTTCCTTTTTTTATTTTTTATTTTTTTGTTTTTAAAAGATTTTATTTATTTGACAGACAGAGATCACAAGTAGGCAGAGAGGCAGGCAGGGTGTGGGGAAGTG